CTGGTGTTCCGCAGATGTCAGTTCTGGGGCCTCTGCTATATCTAATTTATGCACAATTATCTTTAGACTTTAAATACTCTCAGTATCGTTCAAAATTAATACTGTAGCGTTCTTCTGGGTTCTTTTGGGTATGCATTAAAAACAGTCGATTCCACCAAAAGAAATGCACTAATTTATTTTAAACACAACACAACTAACTTTAACTTAACTAGATGGAACATTTATGTACACCACCATTTGTCTGACTACTTATTCGCATGTACTCGTTAGTTCGAGAAAGTTCCGGTGAGCCACATAGCGGCAGTCCAAAATCTTCGAGGTCACTTCGCGTCGATCTGGACGGAGAGTCTCTCACAACAGATGTCGCTCGTAGTACCACTCGGTGTCAGTCTCGCATCGAAGGAGAGTCACTGGTGCGACTCAACAGATGGTGCTGGTAGTACTATTTATTCTTGTTACACTGCCCCCTCTCTAAAGTCATTCCGTCCGAGAATGATCTTACTGGTAGTGGATGTCGATATCGGTACGATTGTCCATTCTTCAGTACCAGAAATCCAATGTCTATATACGGAAGACTACCTCAGGCATGCGTGGAGAACGGCGTGATACTGGATTTGCTGTTAAGAGGCATGTACACAGAACTGTTGGAGTAATGGTTTGGGGGCTATTGCCTATGGTAGCCGATCACCTGTTCTCTTTGTTCAAGGCAATATGACTGCTTCGCGTTATGTTGATGATGTCCTACAAACCACCTTAATGCCGTATCTAGAGGGCCGTCCACAGGTCCTTTTTGAGCAAGACAACGCACGTCCTCATATTGCTTGTCTTTCTTCAAGAAGCACGCCGTTAATGTTTTGCCGTGGCCACCTCGTTTACCGGATTTAAATCCCATCGAACATGTGTGGGATATGATGGGGAGAATACTATCTACAGGGTGCGGCAGAGGTGATGGACGGTTTTAAAAAATCATAAAATAGTTAATTTTTACTCGAAAACAAATTTATTGATGGAATCAGGTTCACAAGGAAATAGCATTTGAGACAGTCAAGTGTGGAAAATCACATCAGGCATGTGGTGGCAGAAATCGTTGATGCAGTGCTGGAGGCGTTCTTGGAAGTTCGCGTAGACTCACTCCAACATCGCTCTCTCAACATGGGCGACTTCCACGCGAATTTCTACCTTCAATTCCTCCAGAGTTCGGGGCCTGTTCGCGTAGACTCTAGCCTTGAGGTGTCCCCATAAGAAAAAATCGCATATGGATAAATCTGGGGACCGAGGAGGCCAATGAACATCGCCACACCTGGAAATAAGGCGAACAGGGAAGAGAGGGCGAATAACGTCCATGGATGCTCGGGCTGTGTGGGCGGTCGCGCCATCCTGCTGGAACCACACACGTCGGATTAGAATACGTCGCCGGGCAGATCGAGTCGGACTGCCACGGTCGAACGCGTTCAACATTTTCAGGAGTTTGAACTGTTCGCGGCGCCCCTCTTGGTCTTATGTTGATATCAGTTCACCACGCCTGCGAAGTGATTCAACCCAACGAAGGATGGTGTTTCGAGAGGGAACAGCTCTATTCCGAAGAATGTTGAAGTGGCGACGAAACTCACGCTGTACGACGATGACTTTTTTTTTTTATATCGAAACAGCCGCGCAGGCAGAAGCCTAAATGTCGGAACACCGCGGCTGCTATGATGATCCCAAAGAAATTTTGTTAATACGATTTTTGAACTGCCTAAGGTTAGTAGAACTGGGAAAAGCTTCCTCCCGTAGATTGTTCCACAATCTAGACACCCTCGGGACAAAGGAGCGGTCGTATCGGCCAGTTCTGGATGTACGAAGTTTGACACGGTTAGGATGGGACGCCGAAGTCAGGCGGGTCTGTCTGGCAGGCACATCGCGCGGCGGCATCATAGAAAAGAGCTCTGAGGAGCAAAGCCCGTTGGTGTAGCGATAGAAAAGAGCTAGATCGCCGACGGCCCGCCGGTGCGAAAGAGTCCCGAGACTGTCTGTTAGAGAAGAGTCATCGATCAGTCGGACCGCCCTCCTCTGGACAGCATCGAGCATGGACAATGTAGTCGGGGCGGCAGCACCCCAAATGTGTGAGCAATACTCGAGGCTAGGCCTTATCTGGGCCTTGTATAGAGTGAGAAGGTCATGCGGAGAAAAGTACTTCTTAGCCCTAAACAAATAGCCTAGCTTTTTCCCAGCAGCTGCAGCTATTGAAGAGATGTGTTCGTGCCAGATCAGGTCCTCGGTGATCTGGACTCCGACCAGCCGAAATGAATGGCTCTTTGGTAGGACTCGACCGTCCATAGAAACTGTATGAGCGCTAGGACGCTTGTTGTTCGTCAAAGTACAGTACTGTGTTTTGGAAGCATTGAACTGTACAAGATTGTTGCGTCCCCAAGCAGTGATAGCCTCCAGGTCTCTTGTCAGAGAAGAAGTCGTCGCTAGTCTTCTTTTTTCCAGCTCAGCGGCAGAGATCAGCTTGTCACTCTGAATCCCTGCATGCAGAGTGCTATCATCAGCGAAGCTGTGGATTGGGTTGATCGTGCAGGAAAGGAGGTCGTTGATATGTAAGAGAAACGGTGTTGGAGCCAAGACCGACCCCTGGGGAACACCCGCGTTGACGTTGTGGGATGAAGAGGAGAATCCGTCAATTACGACGGATATCTTGCGGCCAGAGATAAAGTCAGCCACCCATCTGCAAAGCTTTTCTGGGAGGCCGTAGGATGGAAGTTTGCTTAAGAGGGCAGCGTGCCACAGCTGATCGAACGCTTTCGTGATGTCATGAGCAACGACATGAGCCTCACCATGAGACTGGATGAGTTTACTCCACAGTTGCGTGACGTAAGCTAGGAGGTCCCCTGTGGATCGTTGGTGCCGGAAACCGTACTGCCTGTCGCTAATCAAGCTGTGACGTTCGAGGTAGTCCAGAAGCTCGCGATTTATGCACCTCTCCATCACTTTACTTATAATAGAAAGCAGAGCTATAGGCCTGTAGTTGTAAGGGTCGGTTTTAGATCCTTTTTTTGGGATGGGCTGTACATGAGCAAATTTCCAGTTTTCTGGGAAGGTGCCGGATTCATAAGATATCTGGAAGAGACGCGAAAGAACTGGAGTAAGCTCCGCTGCACATCTCTTCAGTACAATGGCAGGAATCAAGTCCGGACCAGAAGCTTTGTTGATGTCGAGCGACAAGAGCACTCGTCTTACGGTCTTATGCCTGAATGTTACCTCCCGCATAGTGTGGGGAACCCTTTGAATTGACGGCACTTGGGCGTTGGTGGGGACGTCCATGGTGGAGTTGGCAGCAAAGATCTTGGCTAGCACTTCCGCCTTGGCCTTTGAGTCGAATACAATAGTTCCATCCTGACACGTAAGTGGTGGAAGGCTACTGTGTGAGAAGTTCTTTTCAATCTGCTTGGCCAGCGTCCAGAAAGACCGACTGCCATTGCGCTGCGACATTACCCTGTGCCTAACTTTTATATCATGCTGGTTTTTGGCATTGCGAACCGCTTCGTTATATTTGTTTCTGGACTCGACGTCGGCTTGTCTGTTCTCTACAGTGGGGTTTTGTAAGTAGGTTCTGTGGGCCTTGATCTTCTGCTGGCGAGCAGTGTCACACGATTTGTTGAACCAGCCGTTGGACCCTGGTTTAGGAACTTTCACTGTGTGAGGGATGTATTCCTCCATTCCGACGTGGATAATTTCGGTTATTGAAGAACAGACAGTCGACGCATCCGCGTCAGTGAAACAGACATCTCTCCAAGGAAAGCTAGAGAAGAAGTCTCTGAGCCCCTCCCAGTCGGCATGTCCGTAATGCCAAGTTTTGCGGCCTGTGCGAGTTTCTGCTGCCACAGCGGCTTTGGACCGAAACCTAACCTCCACAACACCGTGATCTGAGTTACCCAGGGGGGACAGGACAGCAGTGCTGTAAGGGGCAGGATGCGTGGTCAGAAAGAGATCCAGCAGGCTACTGGCGTGTGACGAGACGCGGGGGAAAAAAGTAGGGCCCGTCACCAGCTGGGTCAGCCCTTGAGTAAGAGCGAACGCTTCGACTGCACGACCTGCTGCATCGGTCTTATTTGAGCCCAACCAAAGCTCATTATGGGCATTGAAATCACCGAGAAGAACTACCTCTGAAGCGGGGTGATTGATGTTCAGGAAGTCGATCTGGACGGCGAGGTATTCGAGTAGGTCATCCCAGTTATGGTTCGAGGGAGAGCGATAAAGGCAGCAAATAAATTTGGGTGATGTTTTGGAGGTGAGGCGAAGCCACAGAATGTCCTTCCGGTCTGATTCCAAAGAAAGATCCCTGGAGCAGGAAAGACTGCTGCGGACAAAAGCCACAACTCCCCCGTTCTTTCTCAGATTGGAGTGCACCTCGTAGTTTGGGAAGTTGAGATGGTTAATCGGTGCAGTCTCTGAGATTTTTGTCTCCGCCAAGAAAAGCACGGCGGGACTATTGGATTGCAGGTAGTGATGAACAGCATCAATGTTGCTGTTGATCCCGCAGATGTTCGAAAAACAAATTTTATCTTCGATGTTGTTCCCTCGAGCCCACCCTCCACCCGGACATTCCGAGAGTGGAGTGAGTTTACGTCCGGAGTTTTTAGTGCTCGAGGGATCCATCATCATTAATTTCTTTGTTTTGTTAGATAACCGACTGACTCATTATTTCCAAAAACGTCCATCCTCTTTGCCGCACCCTGTACGTTGCACCATCCGCTACAGACTCTGCCGCAGCTAATCCACGAAGTTCGAGTTGCTTGGAATGAGGTGCCACAACCAGACATCGTGCACTTTATTTCGTCGATGCCTAGATGTATACAGGAGTGTATTCAGCTGTGGGGTCGCCCAACACATTATTACATTTTTTTCTTATAACTTGTCAATAAAATTGCCAAAAAATCAAGTTGAAAAAATTATTTTTTTCTGGGTTTAACACTTTTAATGTCACAATGAAACAATTTATTAATTAAATCATTTATTCTTTATATAAAAAATAATAAATATTTCGTTCAAATATAAATATCCTAGATATTACATTACACATTAAATCGTCGTTCACGCTATGCCTTCTCTCACACTCTTAATAATCTCACGCGATCCTAATAACAGTAATTATTTACACTTAAAACTATATTATCACCATAATCAAAGCTGTTCTCCTACGTCATTAATAGAGATGTCACAGAGTTTCCACAGTTCACAGTTCATCATGCGCTACTGTATTTTAATGATACGGTTAGCCCAGGAGCCGATCGTGAAAGGCGTCTCGAAAAAATACTGCCAAATTGAAGCAATATGCATGTGTGTGTGATCAAGTGCTGCAGTTCTTCATCGGACACCATTCATAACATTTTTACCAGATCAGATATTGCAATCTGGACATAACATTTGAACTACGTTCTAGAACCTAAAATACATATTATACCGAGTGTTTCAAATTCGACCGTTGGGATCTCGAAAACCCTCTTGAATGGGGGCAAAGTTGTCTTTTTAGGTAATCAACAAAATGCTGCTTAGAAAAAAAAAACAAGTTTTCCCAAAACCGTTTTAACTTTTCCTGGCTTTATTTGTAGTGGGATTTCAACATAAGTTGCACATTAACATTGCCACCTTTTCTACTTTACAAGATGGCATAATTAGAAGTTCAATTGACGTTTCGTCTCCACTAGCATCAAATATATTTTTTCTTATGGACGCCATATTGAATTTTTAGCAGATGAATAGTTTTTAATTCTGATTTCAAAAATGTGTCACACATTGACATTTCCAAACCTAAGTTATTCCAGAGAAATAGAAGTTCCTAGGCAGGCATTAAAATTATCAGATAGTCATTTGTTTCGTAAAACCACACCAGATCTTAAAATGAACATAGCGAAAGAGTTTGGAAGACTGAGAAGAGAAATAAATCGAGCAGTGGACAATGTACAGAGAAGAGTCAGTGTTTGCCTACCAAATAACGGACAATATTTTGAACATCTTTTACCTCCGCTTATTTATGATTATCATTGTTATTACCATCAATAAAATGTTGTCACAATTACGATCAGCCGAACTGTCAGAAGATTTTCGTGGTGTATGGTGGTTGCACCTCCATGCCTCATACTCCTACTTCAGGGGTGCCTCAGGGATCAAATCTAGGGCCCCTATCATTCATAATATATATTAATGAGCTTTCTCTTTAGTGAAATTGAAAATTACAGTGACTGTACGGAATTCCAGCAAGACCTGAATAGGTTGGGTAGATGATGCATTGGCAACAAACTAAATATGTATAAACATTTCAGCTATTCAACTATTATATAAAATAAAGTTTGCGGTGCCTCTTTTTAGTGCAACTTTTTACAGCGCTGGGGGTGGAATCAACATATCGGACATGTCTCCTGTTAAACAGATGTGTGATTTGTTTGACAATTATTGTCAAGGATGCGATATCAATATTGATACCATTCAGGTGTTTTTGAGCAGTTTTAGGCAAACATATGCGGTGCGTAACTAGTAATGTTTACTTTTGCAAATTAAGCCGTCATTTTTAGATATACTTCGAAGTTGAGTCATTTATTTTAACAGTGATTAGATCTGATCAAAAGAAATGTTTTTTTCCTTTAACATTTTTCTGGTAAAATTAAAGTAACTCAGTTATAGCCCTTTAGAAGTTTGAGTACCGTCCTGTCTCAATAATAATATTATGTGCTCGTGTTTGGCGACAACGGATATAATCCGCCTTATCGTTTTATCGCATCGGAAACAAAAAAGCGAAAGAATTCGGAACGACGTTTTTACAATTATTTTATTCAGTTGTATACAGTCAGTGTCAGTCGGTAACGCGTGAGTGACTAGTGGTGTCTGTTGCGTGGCTCAAACGGAATCAAAAATGGCACATGTTTACGAAAATGCTGAACCTGTGGACATGATTCTTATTTACGCGGCATCACGGATTTATGCGGATCGGTTTCCCAATCGAGTGCAACCAACCCCTCGTGCCTTTGTTAATGTAGTACAAAGGGCTCGTGAATCAGTTGACATGCCGGTGCTCCAAGACCGCACGATCAAATACAGGTCCGCACTGAAATACTTGTCGGGAGGATGCTTTATAAAACAAGGTAACATTTTTTTTTAATTTTTTTTTTATTTTTACACACATATTTTGGTTTATCTTCCTTCTACAATCATTATCTGAAAATTAATGACTCAACTTCAAAGTCACCCTGTATATTCTTTGTGTCAATTTTACTTGTATTCCTTTTCATGTGTACGGTTTTATTTCATGTAATAATGTTTTTCATTCATGTTTTAAATGCATTTTGTAAAATGTTTATACTGAGCATTGAACTTGATGTTTATTATTGGATGTTCCTGTGATTGGCTGCAAACCTGTTGGATTAAAGATTATTATTGTCATTAATATAGCGTCCATATGAGAAAACAAAGTTGGTGATGGAAATGGATAGAAGAAGAATAAGTAACAATGACAACATGCAATTTATTTTGAAATCTCATCTCAAATAAAGCCAAGAAAAAATAAAAGTGATTTTGAGATGAATCTGGTATGTGAAACAAATGGTAATTCCAAGGCCTACCTAGGAAATCCTGCTTTTTCAAATTACTAGGTTTTGGCAATGTCAATGTATACATTTATGGAATCAGATTTGAAAACCCTACTCACCTATGCAAAAATCCAGGTTTTTTGCACCTCTCTCGTGAAGTACTTTGAATTTAGAAACTTTCTAAGTAGCATTCACCCCCTAAAAATGCAACTTTGCCATCATTTAAGTGATTTCATGTCTCTTTCAGTTGCCCAATGGTGAGGGTCAATTTTTAAACACCCTGTAGGTACATATCTTTTACTACTCTTCAGAGTAGTAAGATGCACTACTTGTAGTAATGTATATATTTCAATCCAATACAATTTTTTCCCAACAATCTGACGTTTATAAGGTAGATATCGTCAGTGAAAGCATTTAACAGGTCTTTATTCTCCGTTTTAAAAGGTATCTTATTTTAAACACGCAACTTGTCAACGGGAGATTCATACCTAGTGATGGTTTGTTAGCCCATGGTCAAATTTGGCAAAAGTTCTTTTCTCAACTCAGTAATATAGGAGGAAATGCGGTCAAAACGTCGAAAAGAGAAATGCACATTCTACTGTACCCATACGTATAAAAAGATACGTGCACTTTGTTGTTAATGTACAGGGTGGCCAACTTAGAATGCGAGGTACTGTATCTGGAAACCTATCCATCGTAGAGGCTTGCCACAAAAACAGTTATTACTAAAACGGCCAAGAGAAAAACCAGGAAAATATTTTCAAGTTCCTGAAATGACCGCTAGGGGGCGTAACTGCAATCTTGAATCTAAAAAAGCTATGTTTATATGAATTCCGCTATATAACATATATATGGGGGTGACTTTGAAGTTGAGTCATTAATTTTCAGCTAATGATTGTAGAAGGAAGATAAAACAAAATATGTGTGTAAAAATAAAAAAAAAATTAAAAAAAAAAATGTTACCTTGTTTTATAAAGTATCCTCCCGACAAGTATTTCAGTGCGGACCTGTATTTGATCGTGCGGTCTTGGAGCACCGGCATGCTCTCTCCTGTGAGGTCTTAAGTCACCTGGTTCACGAGCCCTTTGTACTACATTAACAAAGGCACGAGGGGTTGGTTGCACTCGATTGGGAAACCGATCCGCATAAATCCGTGATGCCGCGTAAATAAGAATCATGTCCACAAGTTCAGCATTTTCGTAAACATGTGCCATTTTTGATTTCGTTTGAGCCACGCAACAGACACCACTATTCACTCACGCGTTACCGACTGACACTGACTGTATACAACTGAATAAAATAATTGTAAAAACATCGTTCCAAATTCTTTCGCTTTTTTGTTTCCGATGCGATGAACCGATAAGGCGGATTATATCCGTTGTCGCCAAACACGAGCACATAATATTATTATTGAGACAGGGCGGTACTCAAACTTCCAAAGGGCTATAACTTTGTTACTTTAATTTTACCAGAAAAATGGTAAAGGAAAAAAACATTTCTTTTGATCTGATCTAGTCACTGTTAAAATAAATGACTCAACTTCGAAGTCACCCTCTATTTATATATATATATATACATATATATATAAACATATATATATACATATATATACATATACATATATATAAACATATATATATATATATATATATATATATATAAACCTGACAAAAAATACCTGATTTTTAAATTCGAGAGTGATGTGAACTTTTTTTGTTTGACAATTTTTGCTGTATCTCTAAAAATAAAGCTTTGGGAGCAAACGAATCTTAAACGGCTAAGTCGATTTTAACAAAATTGGGCTAGTTGAAAAGATCTATTCTTGGACTACAAATGTTCTAATATTAGAAATTTTGTTAGCCCAAGTATGTGGTTGTTAGAGGTTTTTTCGACATTCCGACGGAAATAGTTAATTTTCTCAAAAAATGAAATGCATTGGTATGATTTTTTTTTCATGAAAAAGTAGCTAAATCATGTCTAAACAAGCTCGCGAAAATCGCATCTCGATATCTTGCTCATAACCTAGAATGTAGGCCAAAGAAAATTTCATACGGAAATCGCTCAAGTTTTTATTTCTTTAAACTATTTTTCTGGAACTGTTTATTATCAAGTTGTGGCCCTCAAAAAGAGCGATTTAAAAAAGAAATACTGGCCATCACGCTCGATGCATTCCTGAAGCCTGTTAAGGGTAGACAACACTGCAGCTTCAATTTCGGCTCTCGGTGTGTTATGTATTGCTTTACGAATCCAGTTTTTCATATTTTCTGTGGTTATAGGTTGAATCTGAAACACGATGTCCTCTAACCGACCCCATAAATGAAAATCAGGTCAAGTTAAGTCGGTGATCGCGAAGGCCATGGAAACAGACTTCTTCTTCCAATTCACCGAAGAAACAGGGTGTTTTTTCGGCAACCTTTGGATACCTCCCACCACTTTATTTTCAGAGAACAGCAAACATTGTCAAATTAAAAAATTTCGGATTAACCTCGACTTTAAAGATCAGGTATTTTTTGGTTGAGTCATTTATTTTAACAGTGAGTAGATCTGATCAAAATAAATGTTTTTTTCCTTTAACATTTTTCTGGTAAAATTAAAGTAACAAAGTTATAGCCCTTTAGAAGTTTGAGTACCGCCCTGTCTCAATAATAATATTATGTGCTCGTGTTTGGCAACAACGGATATCATCCGCGTTATCGGTTCATCGCATCGGAAACAAAAAAGCGAAAGAATTTGGAACGATGTTTTTACAATTATTTTATTCAGTTGTATACAGTCAGTGTCAGTCGGTAACGAGTGAGTGAATAGTGGTGTCTGTTGCGTGGCTCAAACGAAATAAAAAATGGCACATGTTTAAGAAAATGCTGAACTTGTGGACATGCTTTTTATTCTTAATCGAGTGCAACCAATCCCTCGTGCCTTTGTTAATGTAGTACAAAGGGCTCGAGAATCAGGTGACTTAAGACCTCACAGCGGTGCTCCAACACCGCATGATGAAATACAGGTCCGCACTGAAATACTTGTCGGGAGGATACTTTATAAAACACGGTAACATTTTTTTTTTATTTTTACACACATATTTTGGTTTATCTTCCTTCTACAATCATTATCTGAAAATTAATGACTCATCTTCAAAGTCACACTGTGTAGGAATTCACAGAAACATCACTTTTTTAGATTCAAGGTTGCAGTTACGCTCCCTAGCGGCCATTTCAGAAACTTGAAAATATTTTCCATGTTTTTCTCTTAGCCGTTTTAGTTAGAACTTTTTTGCGGCAAGCCTCTACAATGCATAGGTTTCCAGTACCTCGCATTCTTAGTTTGCCGTACTGTAGACCATTGTAAATACAAGTTGAAAAGATCTTTTTGACAGTGTATAATAATCTACAATCTTATGTTTGAAATTAGTGACCTGGGCTCTGGGCTTGATTTTGCACGTGTCAGTAAAAACAAGAATTGAACGAATTTACAACTACCTGGGCCAAAACATTCTAATAATATACAGGGTGGCCCAACGAAAATGTGACTCTCCTGGTATATTTTGGGAAAAACGCTCGGACACGTCAATTTTGATTTCTAGGGGGACGTTTTTTCATCTATAGCCGTACAATACAAGGTGATCCAGAAATAAGATATAGCGTTATACCTTAGATTTTTACATGGAAATTCCCATTTTTTTAGTAGTAACTTCTGTATAATACAGTTTATACCTATCTCCAAACGTTGTGAAGCTATTTGAGTTTATAATAAATTCGACTAACTTAATACTGATAACACTGATCAACAGCCAAAAAATATCCTAAATAAAATCAACAAAATATTACTATTTTTAATGTGCTAAAACCGGAATGAAACTTATTTTTTCAATATTAGTTCAAGTTTTAGAGATACGGTAATTATATGTGTTCCTGCTGTGACAGTGTTAATATACTGTAATTCACAAGAATGCACGTGCTACATTTTTATATTCGGCAAGGAAAGATGATGTAAATCGGCATGATTGTGTTACGTTATACATACGTGTACATTATATTGTTTTATATTAGCCATTTTTTCCTCAGTTGGCTGACAGCGTTCATGTAAGATGTCTCGAAAGTGTGTAAACAATCCAGATCAGTTTTGTTACGTGTGTGGTGATGTGACTTTTGCGTCTCAGAGACGGTCTATTACTCCACTAATAACCAAGGCATATCAGCTTTATTTCGGTTGTAAACTAGGTGATCAAGACAAACAGTGGGCACCCCACATCTGCTGTAATACATGTGCTTCAAGTCTGAGGAGCTGGTTAAATGGCAAAAAACGGTCTATGCGCTTTGCTGTCCCAATGGTTTGGAGAGAGCCTACAAATCATATTAATGATTGTTGCTTTTGCATGGTACCTTGTGTTGGACAAGCCACAGGTATGTCCAAGAAAAAAAATCGGTTATTAACTACCCAAACATACCATCTGCGATGAGACCTGTGCCTCACAGTGACGAAAATCCTATTCCAAAACCCCCAGAATCCTACACTTGCTAATCAGAAAACGAATCAAATCATGGCGATCGAATGATTCGTCAGGAAGAAGATATGTCATCAACGTCAAGAGATCCTGATTTTATACCGAGCACGTCAGGCCACCAACCGCACAAAATAACACAGTCAGAATTAAATGATCTTGTAAGAGATTTAGAACTTCCAAAATGTAAGGCAGAGTTACTTGGATCAAGACTGCAGCAGTGGAACTTGTCAGAAGACGATGTTTCGGTATGTGTTTTTCGTAAACGCCACAAAGACTTAGAACCATTTTTCAATATGGAGAATAACTTGGTTTTCTGCAGTAACATTAACGGCTTACTGGCGGCTCTAAATATAAACTATAACCCAGAAGACTGGAGATTGTTTATAGACAGTTCAACATTGAGTTTAAAGGCAGTGTTATTGCATATTGGAAATATTTTACCATCTCTTCCTGTATGGTATGCAGTTCACATGAAAGAATCATATGACAATATGAAGTACCTATTGACATGCATAAAATACGATGAGCACCAATGGCATATTTGTGGCGATTTGAAAGTTGTTGCACTTTTACTTGGGCTGCAGCTAGGCTACACAAAGTTTTGCTGTTTTTTTGTGTGAATGGGACAGTCGGGCCAAGGCACTTCATTACACCAGACAAAACTGGCCTGTTCGTCAATTCCTAAAGCCAGGTCAAAAAAATGTACAGCATATGCCATTAGTAGATTCGAAAAAAAATTTATTACCACCACCGCATATCAAGTTGGGCCTAATGAAAAACTTTGTCAAGGCATTAGATAGAGATGGGTCAGCTTTTCAATACCTGCGTCAGAAATTTCCAAGACTAAAATCAAATTCAAGCGGATAACCAAATGGAAATGGTATTTACCATTTTGGGTTGGTATTTACCAATCCGTTCAAGCGAGTGTAGTTATCAGTTTGGTTATAAGATCCGTTACGTCACGAATTAGCTGTTATATGTCATAGTTATCACCGCAAAATTGTGGTATTTACCCAATTCAAGAGTAGTTTTATATTTCTGGTTATTATTTGAAATGTGACAAGTTAGAATTTTGCCGGGTATTGGATGTTGTTATTGTACTTCAGCTTCATTTTTGAGAAAAATGATACAGGCTGACTTCAGTTTTACCATAAATTGGAGCACCTTATTAGTTATACTCATTACGGTTGTTGGGGACACTTTAAATGTAGTTCCTATGCTTAACAAAGTATCCTGTGTAGCCATATACCACAAGAATATTAAAATATGGCCATATAAACTCACTAGATGATATCCACCTGTATACGGTTTTGCTAATTTCTTTTTTCATCATTTCTGCTGAATCAATAAATGTTTTCTTTGACATGCGGAAAAATTTAGAGAATTGAAAGTTATCATAGCTACAAAGCCATGGTTCCATCATTAAAAAAAATCTGAAAAAAACATTTCTCCCATGAATATTATGAAAGGTTTCTTATTTAAACTTTCCATATACAGTTGTAGACGAAAAAGCACCGATTATTAAATGATAATAAAAATAATCAGATATTATATACGCGCTTTTCTAAAATAAACAACTTGCAACAAAACCGCGGTTAAAACCAACACGTTCAAGCGATTCGTGTAACTGACGTCATCAACCCGTGTGTCATCTTGAACCATATTATAACCGCGGCACATAACACAGAAATTTTGGTTATTCGCTTGGATTTGATTTAAGTGAGGCAAAGGTTAAAGAAGGTATTTTTGTTGGGCCACAGATTCGAAATATTTTGAAAGATACACAGTTTGAAAACACTTTAACAGGTATTGAAAAAACTGCTTGGAATGATTTCCGTCTGGTGGTCACTAATTTCTTGGGAAATAGAAAAGCTGACAACTATAAAACCCTTGTCAAAAATATGCTGTCATCGTATCATAAGATGGGCTGTAATATGCCTCTTAAGATACATTTCCTACACTCACACCTGGACTTTTTTCCTGACAATTGCGGAGCCGTAAGTGATGAGCACGGCGAACGTTTTCATCAGGATATTTCAACAATGGAAAAAAGGTACCAGGGAAAGTGGAATCCTTCCATGCTTGCAGACTACTGTTGGACTCTTGGTAGAGATGCTCCAGAAACGATCCATAAAAGAACAGCAAAAAGACAGCGCATATAGTGATTCTTATAAGTATATGAATCTGGTTACTTTTTTTAATATACCCTTAAAAATAAAAAGTTTTTTTCTAAACCGCAACTAATTTTTTTATTTCATTGTCATTTTTTGATTCAGCGCCCCAAAATTAACAAAGAAGTGCACTTTTCCCACAAGATACAATTAAAAAACTAAAATTTGTTGCCCAGTGAATAATCATGGATATCAGCAAGAAATTTCGCATCAGTCAGTGTCATCGTATGCCATAGAAAAACTCCATTTCAAATTGTTAAGTTACCTACCTAGTTGTGATAAATATTGAACAACGACTTGTTCAATTCGATAGTAAATATGTATATACTTAATTGTACGAAAACTTCATGGACAATCTAAAATTAAAAAATAGAAGTTTCCATATAAAAATCCAGAATGTAACCCAATATCTTATTTTTGGACCACCCTGTATAGATAAAAAGACGTCCCCTAAAAATCAAAATTGTCGCGTAGGAGCGTTTTCCCCAAAATATTTACCAGGCGAGTCACAAATGGGGGAGCGACCTTTTCGTTGGGCCACCCTGTATATTATTTATGTTCTTATTTAAACTGCTGTTACCGTGGAACTATCTGTTCACAATTGAACGTATTCAGTTCTTTTTCTTATCATTTGACTTGACACATTTTCCTCTGTAGCAGATTTCCGTTTCGTGAGTGACTTCGGTGGAAGTAGATGTCCGCACCGCCCTCATCTCCCACGGTGTCACTTCGTACGGCCTTACGACGGTCGTCGAGCTCTGGGTTGTGGTTACAGGTGCCGCTTCAGTTGTGGTCATGATCAGCTCTTCTGTCGTTGTTTGTACGGTTGGTTCAGTTTGAGTCTCGTTTTTTATTGATTCTTCCGTCATTTCTTCTGGGAACGTAGGAGTGAACTGAGTCGTTGGTTGACTGGCTTCTTTTTCTGTAGTGCTAGGTTTACTGTTAGCTATGCCTGGAATAAGGATTTTATTGAGATAAGTCTGACAGAATTTGTTGACCGTGTATGTCAGTCTCTGAACACGGGACCTCGCAATAATTCCACTGATCAACAGCCAAAAAATATCCTAAATAAAATCAACAAAATATCACTATTTTTAATGTGCTAAAACCGGAATGAAACTTATTTTTTCAATATCAGTTCAAGTTTTACAGATACGGTAATTATATGTGTTCCTGCTGTGACAGTGTTAATATACTGTAATTCACAAGAATGCACGTGCTACATTTTTATATTCGGCAAGGAAAGATGATGTAATCGGCATGATTGTGTTACGTTATACATACGTGTACATTATATTGTTTTATATTAGCCATTTTTTCCTCAGTTGGCTGACAGCGTTCATGCAAGATGTCTCGAAAGTGTGTAAACAATCCAGATCAGTTTTGTTACGTGTGTGGTGATGTGACTTTTGCGTCTTAGAGACGGTCTATTACTCCACTAATAACAAAGGCATATCAGCTTTATTTCGGTTGTAAACTAGGTGATCAAGTCAAACAGTGGGCACCCCACATCTGCTGTAATACATGTGCCTCAAGTCTGAGGAGCTGGTTAAATGGCAAAAAACGGTCTATGCGCTTTGCTGTCCCATTGGTTTGGAGAGAGCCTACGAATCATATTAATGATTGTTACTTTTGCATGGTACCTTGTGTTGGACAAGCCACAGGTATGTCCAAGAAAAAAAAATCGGTTATTAACTACCCAAACATACCATCTGCGATGAGACCTGTGCCTCACAGTGACGAAAATCCTATTCCAAAACCCCCAGAATCCTACACTTGCGAATCAGAAAACGAATCAGATCATGGCGATCGAGTAATTCCTGTAGGGTGTGCAGTTCACATGAAATAATCATATGACAATATTGACATGCATAAAATACGATGAGGACCAATGGCATATTTGTGGCGATTTGAAAGTTGTTGCACTTTTACTTGGGCTGCAGCTAGGCTACACAAAGTTTTGCTGTTTTTTGTGTGAATGGGACAGTCGGGCAAAGGTACTTCATTACACCAGACAAAACTGGCCTGTTCGTCAATTCCTAGAGCCAGGTCAAAAAAATGTACAGCATATGCCATTAGTAGATTCGAAAAAAATTTTATTACCACCACTGCATATCAAGTTGGGCCTAATGAAAAACTTTGTCAAGGCATTAGATAGAGATGGGTCCACTTTTCAATACCTGCGTCAGAAATTTCCAAGACTAAGTGAGGCAAAGGTTAAAGAAGGTATTTTTGTTGGGCCACAGATTCGAAATATTTTGAAAGATACACAGTTTGAAAACACTTTAACAGGTATTGAAAAAACTGCTTGGAATGATTTCCGTCTGGTGGTCACTAATTTCTTGGGAAATAGAAAAGCTGACAACTATAAAGCCCTTGTCAAAAATATGCTGTCATCGTATCAAAAGATGGGCTGTAATATGTCTCTTAAGATACATTTCCTACACTCACACCTGGACTTTTTTCCTGACAATTGCGGAGCAGTAAGAGATGAGCACGGCGAACGTTTTCATCAGGATATTTCAACAATGGAAAAAAGGTACCAGGGAAAGTGGAATCCTTCCATGCTTGCAGACTACTGTTGGACTCTTGGTAGAGATGCTCCAGAAACGATCCATAAAAGAACAGCAAAAAGACAGCGCATATAGTGATTCTTATAAGTATATGAATCTTGTTATTTTTTTTAATATATCCTTAAAAATAAAAAGTTTTTTTTCTAAACCGCAATTAATTTTTTTATTTGTCATTTTTTGATTCAGCGCCCCAAAATTAACAAAAAGGTGCACTTTTTCCACAAGATACAATTAAAAAACTAAAATTTGTTGTCCAGTGTTCTTAGAGGAGGGGGCCGGGGGGTTGGTTTCTGCAAGCATCGGTGAGAGATAACTTTTTGTAAAAGTGTATATGCCCGAACAACTTTTTGAAGAGTTGCAGATTTTCTCGGAAAATTGATGACTAAAGGTTCGAGATAAATCCGAAATCATCTTTTCAACTTCCTACGCCAAAACTGGCAAAGACGTATTGCAATCTGAAAAATTTCGAAATTAAGATATGATGTTCTATTTATTTATTTATTTAGCAACATCCACCAGCCATAGCCAATTACAGGATGGATAAACGTGAAAATATAAACAAATGCATGTTGTGGATGTATGTAGAGAAAGCTAAAACGCTGCAAAAAAAAAACCTCAAAATAGAACTGGGAGGGAAAAAAAAGCGTTCTAGCTTTACCTACACAGCACTCAACAATCACACCAGCAAGCATTAACGAAAATAAGCATTAATGTCTCCCAAAGTCGCACAAAACGAAAATATATCTAAAACGCTATTAACTGAATTATAATTATGGCACATTATATACAGGGTGTCCGCAAAGTTGGGGTTTTCCTTTACTCGACGTGTAGATCTTGAAAACATAAGCAATTTTTCTTAGTACCATATACACCAATGTCTTAAGGGAACCGAGATAAAGGGCTCTGCAACATCAAAAATATCTGAATACCGTCCTGTAGCCGCGACATCACCGACTGGTACAAGGTCACTGGCTCAACTCGACGACAAAACTGGGTCGGGGTCAGTGTGTCAGGTCAGTATGCAACCTTCAACCGACGGTTACGGTCACGCGTAGACGAGAATCCCTCAACAAGCACTAGAGACGTGGCTAGAGAAGTGCAAGTATCACAAACTGAAGTGTGGCAAACGCTGCGTGAAGAGGGGCTGTATCCGTTTCACGTCCAACGTGTACAAGCCCTTCAACCTGACAATTTTGCAGCAAGAGTGCGGTTTTGTGAGTGGTTGTTGCATCAACATGACCATTTATTCTCCCAAATCGATTGGACGGGATGCAATACCTAGACTTTTTACGCAACATTTTACCTTCCTTGTTAGAAGATGTGCCATTAAGTGTGAGACAAACAATGTGGTTTCTGCGTCTGCTCGGTAGCGCATCAGCTGATTTCATTTTCTGTTGGAGCGGTATGATTTCGGGCAGAGACGTACTTAGCCCTTCTCGTCAACCGGAGAGTGAGTACTTTTTCCTTTATTTTTTTTTTACTTGGTCGCCCTCGTTTCACTACACATTACCTTTGTTATTTCAAGGGTAGTTGTTTCTGAAAAGGAAAACCCCAACTTTGCGGACACCCTGTATATAGGGGAAAACTTAAGTATGTCAGTCCTAGGCCTGGCTAAGTAAAAAGTTAAACTAGTTCGTGACGCTAATCTAGGAATTAAGAAGTTAAGTTGTTCTAAGATGACACTGGAGTCAATAATGCCATGGATGAGCTTGTGAATGAACTTAAGTGAATTCATTTTGCGTCTGCTCTCTAAATTATAGATTTTGTGTCTCGCCATCAACTCACTATGAGGAAAGCCAATAGCGGGATATATCCCGTCAGCTTTGTATGAGAGGTATTTTAAAAACTTTCTTTCAACGGACTCTAAGCGGTCAATATATATTTGATGATGAGGATACCATACCAGGGACGCATACTCAAGCTTAGATCTTACATAAGCATAGTACAGCATTTTCAGTGTAAAGGAGTTTTGGAAATCACCGGTATTTCTTACAATAAAACCATACGCCTTTGATGCAGCCACAACAGCATTTTCAATGTGATAGGAAAAGAAAAGTTTTCTGTCAAATGTGACTCCCAAGTCATTAATTGTACTAGGTCTGTCAAGTTTCCTGTCACCAATACTATATTCATACATCATCACCCCTGTTTTTAAAGTAAACGACAAAACGTGACACTTAGCAGCATTCAAAACAAGTCTGTTTTCACGACACCAGCTGTCAACCCTTACAATGTTGCATTGCAAGCGATGACAATCGTCAATGTTAGAGACTCTATAGAAAAGTTTCATATCGTCAGCATATATAAGAAAATCGACATCGATAACTTCAGAAATATCATTTATGTACATAATAAATAACAGAGGTCCCAAATTAGATCCTTGAGGAACACCGGACATTACAGGGTATTCGCTTGACTTATGTCCATTGCACATAACATATTGTTTCCTATGACATAAATAAGATCTGAAAAATAGCAATAATGCATCTGAAAGACCAAATATAGATAACTTATTGAGTAGAATGTTATGGTCTAAACTATCAAACACTTTAGAGAAATCAGTATATATTACATCCGTTTCAAGATGTCTATCGATTGATTCACAAACATATTGAGTAAGATGTAGCAAGTTAGTAACTGTGGACCTGCCCTTCATGAAACCGTGTTGACTGACGGAGATAGACCTGCTTACATGAAAATATAGCACAGTTTGTATCACTATTTCGAATGTTTTAGCGAAATTACTGATAATTGTGATAGCCCGATAGTTTTCTACATAATTCCTCTCACCTTTTTTAAAAACAGGAGTTACCCTAGACAACTTCCAAATAGATGGAAAGTGATTATTTTTCAGAGAGAGATTGAAAATGATCATGAGTGGATATGCTAAAATGCACGCACAATCTCTCACAAAAAATGCAGGTATTTGATCAGGTCCTGCAGTCATTTTTGGCTTAATTTTCTTGAGCGCCTGTAGCACATCGATTACCTGTACACTAGGCATAGCTAGTGTAGTAGTAGAAAAATTAGATTGAGCTGTTGGAGGATTATAGCTCCCACTAAAGTGTTCCGCAAATGCGCCAACAACATCATTAGGTGTATTCAATCCTAGCCCATTGTACAGCATATCCTTCGGAATACCAGTGCAGGTTCTTTTTCTATTAACAAAAGACCAGAATTTGCCGGAGCTGTTTGATATTTCACACTCTAAAGAGTGAATGTAGCGACGATATGAGACAGCTACATGTTGCTTTATCTCTGAGCGATGTCTTATAAATTTTTCTATATAATAAGTATCACCAGTGCGTCTGAAAGTCTTGAATGCCACCATTTTTTGTTTGAAGGTTCTAATGATACGGCTGTTGTACCAAGGAGGATACCTATTATTATAAGATATTCTAACTTTAGGAACACAACAATCAAGGATTCTATAGATCTCAGAATAGAAATATTCACAAGCTAAATCAACGTCACTAAAATTTTTCAAATCGCCCCAGCTAATATTCACAATCATTTCATAGAGCAGCTGAAAGTCAGCTTTCCTAAAATTATATGAACCTTTAAAGTTGTTTAAAGTTAAATGTTCTCTTGGATGTCATACAATATGTACATCATGAAAAACCATGTCACTCATTTCCGTCGCCTGTTTGCCTGTCCGCTAATTTTATAGCGACCTATAACTTGAGCAGTTCGTTTTATTCACGTCAGCGAAACAAACATCTCTACAAGGAAAGGTCGAGAAGAAGTCTGTGAGCCCCTCCTTAACGCCAAATTTTGCGGCCTCTACGAGTTTCTTCTGCCAAAACCTAACCCTCACAACACCGTGGACAGCAGTGCTGTAAGAGATAGGATGCGTGGTCAGGAAGAGGTCCAGCAGGCTACTAGCATGTGACGAATCGCGTAGGTGTGGAAGCATGCCGACATTTATGACACCCTGGAAAGAGCTAGAGGGTGGTACCGCCTCGGTCGACTGGTCCTTGTCTACCACCTGCTTTTTGCGTAATGTTAAATGGAATTACAGTGGCCCGTTGGCGGACTTGTACCGCCACCCGGTGATCGGTACTGGGGTATTTCTTAACGCGTATGCAATCACTTGAACGGGAAGAAGTTGTATTCTGGATTCAACACCTTCCCGAACAAACATTTGCCTCGGCCTCGCTCAGTAGGGTTCGGAGTCATTTACGTCGAAAAATATTTCTAAAGAGAAAAAATTAAAAATAGTAAATGTTCGCCTATCAACATTGGGAAACCACGAGGCATTTGACGTAATTTGTTTAGAGCTGTGAACTGCTTGATAACTTACCGAACATTTCGTACAGCGTATCGAACAAGCTTGACGGCTTGTTTGGATTGATCTGCTTCTGCTGCAACGTGGTCGTCTCAATAATAGAGGTAGTAACTTCTTCTGTCGTAACTTCTCTGTTTTCTTCGTACGTTTCGTAGTCTTGAGCCTGTTGCTGACCCACAATTTCATCTTTATCTTTGTTCACAGCATCATCTTCGTCGTTCTTCGCTGCGACTTTTTCAACTGTCGGAATTTGCACTTCCTTCTCGTGTGACAATAGTTCGGACTTGGCTGCATCAGTATGTTGCTTTTCGTGTATAATTTGACTTGTGTTCGCATGGTTCTGCTGTTGCAGTTCTTTCAGCTCAGCTTCACCGTGCAGTTTCATGCTTTCGTAGTCATAAGCATCTGAATTCTGTTCTAAAGCTGGGTTGTAATTACTGTATGTACCTGAAAAAAAAAATAGGGAATTTTTATTTGTGTCAGTTACGTCGACTGTAAAAATTACTATGCCGGTAAAAACATTATTTTTAATGCTGAACAATGCCTATGTACAGTAATGGACAAAAGTATATAGTCAAATTAATATTGTGTTGTATTTCTTTTTTAGCTTGTTTTATTGATACACCAACCTGTATATATATAATTCTTTATAGCATAATTACTCACTTATATATAAATAAATTCATTGGACTTCCTTCAATAAAAAAAAAATATTTGAAAAAACTGGAACCATGAAGGACAAAAATATATAGGCAAAGCAAAACAATTATAGAAAAAAGAAGCAACGTTCATTGAATTATAGAAAACCAACCATGTGTGTGTTAATATTTTGTAGCATAACCATGACACTGATCAACAGCCAAAAAATATCCTAAATAAAATCAACAAAATATTACTATTTTTAATGTGCTAAAACCGGAATGAAACTTATTTTTTCAATATTAGTTCAAGTTTTAGAGATACGGTAATTATATGTGTTCCTGCTGTGACAGTGTTAATATACTGTAATTCACAAGAATGCACGTGCTACATTTTTATATTCGGCAAGGAAAGATGATGTAATCGGCATGATTGTGTTACGTTATACATACGTGTACATTATATTGTTTTATATTAGCTATTTTTTCCTCAGTTGGCTGACAGCGTTCATGCAAGATGTCTCGAAAGTGTGTAAACAATCCAGATCAGTTTTGTTACGTGTGTGGTGATGTGACTTTTGCGTCTCAGAGACGGTCTATTACTCCACTAATAACAAAGGCATATCAGCTTTATTTCGGTTGTAAACTAGGTGATCAAGACAAACAGTGGGCACCCCACATCTGCTGTAATACATGTGCTTCAAGTCTGAGGAGCTGGTTATATGGCAAAAAACGGTCTATGCGCTTTGCTGTCCCAATGGTTTGGAGAGAGCCTACAAATCATATTAATGATTGTTACTTTTGCATGGTACCTTGTGTTGGACAAGCCACAGGTCCAAGAAAAAAAAATCGGTTATTAACTACCCAAACATACCATCTGCGATGAGACCTGTGCCTCACAGTGACGAAAATCCTATTCCAAAACCCCCAGAATCCTACACTTGCGAATCAGAAAACGAATCAGATCATGGCGATCGAGTGATTCGTCAGGAAGAAGATATGCCATCAACGTCAAGAGATCCTGATTTTATACCGAGCACGTCATGCCACCAACCGCACAAAATAACACAGTCAGAATTAAATGATCTTGTAAGAGATTTAGAACTTCCAAAATGTAAGGCAGAGTTACTTGGATCAAGACTGCAGCAGTGGAACTTGTTAGAAGACGATGTTTCGGTATGTGTTTTTCGTAAACGCCACAAAGACTCAGAACCATTTTTCAATATGGAGAATAACTTGGTTTTCTGCAGTAACATTAACGGCTTACTGGCGGCTTTAAATATAAACTATAACCCAGAAGAATGGAGATTGTTTATAGACAGTTCAACATTGAGTTTAAAGGCAGTGTTATTGCATATTGGAAATATTTTACCATCTCTTCCTGTAGGGTATGCGGTTCACATGAAAGAATCATATGACAATATGAAGTACCTATTGACATGCATAAAATACGATGACCACCAATGGCATATTTGTGGCGATTTGAAAGTTGTTGCAGTTTTACTTGGGCTGCAGCTAGGCTACACAAAGTTTTGCTGTTTTTTGTGTGAATGGGATAGTCGGGCAAAGGCACTTCATTACACCAGACAAAACTGGCCTGTTCGTCAATTCCTAGAGCCAGGTCAAAAAAATGTACAGCATATGCCATTGGTAGATTCGAAAAAAATTTTATTACCACCACTGCATATCAAGTTGGGCCTAATGAAAAACTTTGTCAAGGCATTAGATAGAGATGGGTCAGCTTTTCAATACCTGCGTCAGAAATTTCCAAGACTAAGTGAGGCAAAGGTTAAAGAAGGTATTTTTGTTGGGCCACAGATTCGAAATATTTTGAAAGATACACAGTTTGGAAACACTTTAACAGGTATTGAAAAAACTGCTTGGAATGATTTCCGTCTGGTGGTCACTAATTTCTTGGGAAATAGAAAAGCTGACAACTATAAAACCCTTGTCAAAAATATGCTGTCATCGTATCAAAAGATGGGCTGTAATATGTCTCTTAAGATACATTTCCTACACTCACACCTGGACTTTTTTCCTGACAATTGCGGAGCCGTAAGTGATGAGCATGGCGAACGTTTTCATCAGGATATTTCAACAATGGAAAAAGGTACCAGGGAAAGTGAAATCCTTCCATGCTTGCAGACTACTGTTGGACTCTTGGTAGAGATGCTCCAGAAACGATCCATAAAAGAACAGCAAAAAGACAGCGCATATAGCGATTCTTATAAGTATATGAATCTTGTTACTTTTTTTTAAGCTTTTTTTATATGTGAATGTCTGTACGCATTAAGTTGTCCCTGTTTGTACTTTGTAAATAATTATGTTTGTTTCGTTTTTATTTTTAATTATGTGTACTATGTACCTCCCTCTTAGGACGAGTCTTATGTCATTTTTTATGATCTACAAGACAATAAATGTATCTATCTATCTATCTATCTAATATATCCTTAAAAATAAAAAGTTTTTTTCTAAACCGCAACTAATTTTTTTATTTCATTGTCATTTTTGGATTCAGCTCCCCAAAATTAACAAAGAAGTACACTTTTCCCACAAGATACAATTAAAAAACTAAAATTTGTTGTCCAGTGTTATTATCAATCACCGTCTGGCATCGTCTCGACATAGATTGTAGAAGTTTTTTGATATAAGATTCACCAATCTGTCTCCACTTTTGCTCTAAAGCGGCAAAAAGTTCTCCCTTGTTTGAATAATTTTTATCTCGTATTTTCTTATCTAAGTATTCCCATAGATTTTCAATGGGGTTTATATCGGGAAACTATGAAGGCCATTTGAGAAATGGTATTTTTTCATCCAGAAAGAATTCCTTTGCGAGATTTGAAGTGTGCTTCGGGTCATTATCTTGCTGGAAGATTGATATTTAGGGCATATTGTCTTCCATATAGGTTAACATGACATGTCTGAGTATACAAACTTATCCATAATGCCATCTATTCTATGTAAAGGTCCCATCCCAAACCCCGAAAAGCACCCCCAAACCATAACAGACCCGCCTCCATGTTTGAAGAGTACTTGGGGTTCAATCTTTGTCCACTAGGACATCTAACGTAATGAACACCATCTGACCCAAACAGATTGAACTTGGATTCGTCACTGAAACATACCCTCTTCCAGTCACAGATGCCCCAATCAAGATGCAACCGTGCAAATTGTAATCGGTTCTTACGGTTTTTCCTCGAGATTAGCGGCTTAATCTTCTACTTATAGTTTTCGTAGAAACAGTGACAATTCCTTTTGTCTCGATTTCGGTTTTTATTTGTCTTGGGGTTTTAAACGGATCTTTGGACGAAATTACTTTTACTAATCTAACTGATCTAGCATTCAGTTTTCTAGGCCCATCACTTCTCTTAGAGGCTTCCAAGATACCTTTTTGTTTATATTTGTTCGATATTGCCCAAACTGCTTCACGCTTTAGCTTCAAATTTTTGGCAATGTCGACTTGACGTTGACCATCTACTCAATGATCTTAGTTTTCACATCGAAAGACATTTCTGGACCACGCGACATGGTCTTAAAATCACTCAACTTATTCCACAATACTTGATGAACACACACTGACACGAAACTGTACAAAACTAATGTTGAAAAGAATTTGTCGACATATTTTTGTCCCTCATAAAAAACTGCTTATATTCAGATTTGTATTGTGTTCATTGCAGATAATGTAAAAACAAGGAATTTAGTTTTTCTACTAATAACGCAATTGTTTATGGAGCAATGAAGTATGAATTCGTTTTCTAAAGGTATTTAGGTAAATATTCATATTTGTCTATATACTTTTGTCCATTACTGTATAACAGTTAATTATCTGGAAACATCATCAGGTATCCTAAAAAAAAAGACAAATCGATAGTGGTTTTTGTGGTTCTAAATATTTGCCGAATAATCAGTGAGAGAACGATGGGTGGACATTTCACACTAATGGGAGGAGGGGATTATCTGGAAGGCTATTAGCAGATGGCGCTAGGTACGCTAAGGGTTATACAGGGTGACTTCGAAGTTGAGTCATTTATTCTAACAGTGAGTAGATCTGATCAAAAGAAATGTTTTTTTCCTTTAACATTTTTGTGGTAAAATTAAAGTAACAAAGTTATAGCCCTTTAGAAGTTTGAGTGTACCGCCCTGTCTCAATAATAATATTATGTGCTCGTGTTTGGCGACAACGGATATACTCCGCCTTATCGGTTCATCGCATCGGAAACAAAAAAGCGAAAGAATTGGAAACGCTGATCACGATGTTTTTATTCAGTCTGTGTCAGTCGGTAACGCGTGAGTGAATAGTGGTGTTTGCTGCGTGGCTCAAACGAAATAAAAAATGGCACATATTTATGCGGGATCGGTTTCCCAATCGAGTGCAACCAACCCCTCGTGCCTTTGTTAATGTAGTACAACGGGCTCGTGAATCAGGTGACCTAACACCTCACAGGGGACTGCAGGCCGGTGCTCCAAGACCTCACGATCAAATACAGGTCCGCACTGAAATACTTGTCGGGAGGATACTTTATAAAACAAGGTAAAAAATTTTTATTTTTATTTTTACACACATATTTTGGTTTATCTTCCTTCTACAATCATTATCTGAAAATTAATGACTCAAATTCAAAGTCACCCTGTATATCCGTCATATCTAAGGCCAAGAACAGACAAACACGTCAATATCTGATCACCAGTTCAAGTCAATGGATATCAAAACGTGAATTATAAATTACTTTTCTATCAAATCTGTCTTTTAACCATCTAAGTTTGACAGCCTGGACCTGCAATCACGTTTTGACGTCTACTGAGCGACATCTTTGTATTAGTCTGTAACTTTGGCAATAATGAATCGGGTGTAAATCTAGTAAAACTTGGATGTAGCGTTTTTTTTTTGTATGCAAATGAACTTTGTTAAATAAAAGTACATCACAAATCCGTAGCGTACCAAAAAAAATATGGTTCTGTCCACCTGCCGTTGACGGATCCGTCAGAATTATGTGTCATTTGTCGATATAGAGAATTTTCAAAAATTACTAGATAATCAGCTGATATTCTACCGTGATGAATACTCGTGGAAAAGACAATAACTAGCGCCATATACTTCCGGTTGCCTCTAAAACATCTTTGGCGTGTAGTGAGAAAATAGTGAGTTTAAACATAAAAATTGAGTTAATTTCTGAGAAATTGAATATCAAAATGCCAAGTTTAAACGGATAATATACATAAAAATGTGTGAAAATATGAGAATAACTCTTATAAGGTCTTTATTACTGTTTTACTGACGTACATAAGCAAATATAATTACTCATATGAATGCAGATGCAGAAAATGCATTAAAGGAAAAAAATATAACAAATTCTTATAAATGCCGGATACGTGCTTATATCTATACTAAGTGACATATAAATCCGAACACCCAGTTTTATTTTAATAAAAGTTGGTGAATGTATTTATCTTACTGTAAATAACAAGTGAAAAAATTTTCAGCCTTATCAGTTGGACATTCCGGTTTTTATACTGCTTTTTTTTAATTCACTAACGCTCTAAAAATGAATATTTCAGCCGCAGTAAAGAATCAACGTTGGCGGATTTTGGTTCTTGACATCCTTTAAGATCGGTTACGATGCCTAGAGTACGGAGACCTGTACGATTTCGTCAACTTAGTGAGTTTGATAGGGGCCGTATCGTGGGACTTCGGGAAGCTGGACTTTCTTTTCGGGCAATTGCAGTTAGAGTGCAAAGAAGTGTAGACACTGTAGTTAGGTGTTGTCAGGCATGGCTTCGAGAAGGCCGTACGCAAAGAGCAAGGAGCACTGGACGCCGCCGTAGAACAACAGACCGTGAAGATCGCCGCCTAAGATTATTGGCCTTAAGGGACCGTTTCTCCACTACCAGGTCCATTGCAAATGAATGGTTTGCAGAACACGGAAGACCTATTGGCATGCGAAGTGTTTACCGACGAATGAGAAGTTTTGGCTTGTTTTCATACCGGCCACACTGGATCCTCCCTTTAACTCGAGAACACCGACGTAATCGCAGATCGCAGATCCAACTTTCCAACAAGATAATACCCGACCACATGTTGCAAGAGTCACAATAGACTTCTTTCAACATAATGATGTCACATTGTTACCATGGCCACCAAGATCTCCCGACTTATCCCCAATTGAGCACGTGTGGGATATGATGGGTAGGAGATTGCTCAATTTGCAACGTCCTCCTCAGACTCTAGAAGCACTTCGAGAGGAGTTGGTGGTTGCCTGAAATGAGATACCATAGGAGGACATTGACCACCTGATCAGAAGCATGCCTAGGCGCGTTGGAGAATGCGTAGCACATCAGGGTGCATCCACACATTATTAAAGGTCAAAGGGCTTTAAAGCAGTGAAATCATTTTGAAATTTTTATCATTTACTTATTATGCTTCATTTAGTACTTATACAAAATTTTATTAAAATAAAACCATTTAAACTGGGTGTTCGGATTTATATGTCACTTAGTATATTTTTGTGGGGCTTGAGAGAACGACGACAGCTCCTTCTAAAACGTTCATGAACTGCAGTATGAACGGTGAGAGCGAAACTAGTGAGAAAAGTGAATGTTTTCAATGAAAAGTGAGTAAAAGCGAGATGGTGAAAAAACTGAGGAAAAGTGAAAAAAGTGAGTCGCCACCATCCCTGTGTAACATCAAAAAAAAATATCTCATTTTCGGAATCTTTCGCGTAAAAAACAAACCGTGAATGCATTCAAACTGTGGACTTATTGGATAAGACAGATAAGTTTATAAAAGATGAAAAGTAATGTATGTATGGTTGTTGGTTATTACCTCCTTTTTCATTATCCTGCTTAGTTTTCTCTATCGTCTCGAAAGAATTCAGGACAGAATAGTAATTCTGTGATTCAGCAGGTTCAATTCTATCAGCAGGCCTTTGTCTCACGAGTTTCCAGACTCCTCTTCTTCTGCTATTTGGCTTCTTGGTGTTCACCTCCTCGAACTGTTCTTCGACCTTCGCAAAAGAGCAAAAATTGACTTTACTTTAAATATCGAAACAAAAAATGTGAAATATGCCAAAAATGACATTCAGAAGATGGAGAAAACCACTTGTATTATGTCTTACCGAAACACATGCTACAGAAGACATCACTGATGGTGAATTACAAATTACTAATTATAAAACCTACAGATGCAACTCCAACTCCAGACATACTGGAGGTGTAGTGATTTATGTTTACCACAAAATACAGATCACATTATTCGATTGTACCACTTTAGACTATGCATACTGGTATGCACATATACAGTTCAAATTATTTGGGAAACGTTATGATCTTTGTACTTTTTACCGTTCAGCAAACAGTGATGCGGATACATTTTTAACGTTTTTTGAAGAAAAATGCGAAGAAATGTGGAATTTTAGAAACAATATAATACTTTTAGGTGATTTTAATTTAAATTATTATGGTAAAAGCATGAAAACAAGAAAATTGAAAGAAACCATAAACAACTATGGGTTCAAGCAAAAAATTGAAGAGAGTACCAGATTAACATCATTATCAGATACTTTGTTAGATCTTGTTATTGTAAATTTCGAATGTGCAGGGATTAAAGCTGTACATACACCTAAAGTTAGCGATCACAGTTGGACAATGCTGCCCTTGGTAGGGCATTTTTCTGATACAAAAATTAAGAAAATCGTAAATACTATTAAGTACGAAAAACTTGAACGAGAACTTGCTGGCTGCTATTGGAATTTTGGTGAGAATATGGAAAAAATATATGACAACATAATAGGAAATATAAAAACTTGTTTAGATCTTGCAACTGATAAAAAAGTGATTTGCTCGACAAAAAATACACCCTGGTATAACAAGAATATTAAGGCAGCTCAAAATTTGAGAGACAAACAATACAATAAATGTATATTCACAAAATCAAATGATGATTGGGAGGTATATAAAACTCTTAGGAATAAATGTGTATACGTAATTAGAGAAGAAAAAAGGAAATTCTACGATAAACAAATCGATAATAACAAGTGAGACAGTGTAAAGATGTGGAAGAAATTTAAAAAGACTGATCAATTCGAAGCCGCATGATTATGTAAATCAAGTTCAATTCGAAAACGGTACGGAAACAAATTCTTTGGTGATTGCAAACAAACTAAATGAATATTTTGTGGAAAGTATTGTTGATATTGTGGGTACTGCCAATGCTGCACCTGACTATATGAAAATCAGTTTCCAGGGGCAAATGTTGCATACACTTTCAAAATTTCACAGCGTATCATTGAATTATCTAAGAAAAAAAGTAAACAGTTTAAAATCAAATAACAACTGTGCCGAAATCACTACTAAAAACGTGCTGAAAAACTGTTTCGAAATTTTGGGATATCCTGTATTAAATTGGATCAATTGTTCACCGAGAAGCAGTTCTTTCCCTGAAAATTTGAAATGCTCTACAATAACACCAGTTCCCAAAATAAAAAATTCTAAAAGATGCAGCGATATGAGACCAGCAAATGTATTACCAGACATTGAAAAATTATTAGGGTCCATAGTGCATGACCAATTAATGCAGTTTATAGAAGAAAACAAAATTTTTGTGGAGGCGCAAGCAGGCTTTCGAAAAAAATATTCCACAGAAACAGCTTTCCAGTTGGTAACTGAGAATTGGAGAAGAGCCATAGACTCAGAAGAAATTGCCATAGCAGTATTTTTGGATTTGAAGAGGGCATTTGAAACGATTGATAGAGATATTTTGTTAGGTAAATTGAAGGCATATGGTATATCAGGAAGTGTTTTAGATTGATTTAAAAATTATTTTTCTAAAAGGATGCAGGTTACAAATGTTACTGACACTATTTCATCAAAAATTGAAAATACGTTGGGTGTTCCACAGGGCAGTATCCTGGGACCACTTCTTTTTATTTTATACATAAATGATTTACCTGCCATAGTCAAAAAATGCAAAATTCAGATTTTCGCCGATGACACTATGATTTATATAAGTACTAAAAATATTCAGTCTGGTATCTCTTATATAAATGAAGACTTTAAGCTTGTCTCAAAATGGTTAGCATCTAACAGACTAAAATTAAATGCAAGTAAAACGAAAGCCTTGTTAATCGGAAAAAACAATGAACAAATGTTCAACTGAATATTGATGGTGAAGATATTGAATTCGTAGAAAAGTTTAAATACCTGGGGGTTTTTGTTGACTCTCGATTAATTTTTGATATTCATTATGAAAAAGTTATAAATAAGATTAGTAGTAAAGTGGGATATTTATCGAGAGTTTCTGGATGTCTGAGTTCATATAGCAGAAAAATTATCTATAACACCATCATTCTTCCAAATTTCTTGTACTGTTCGACTATTCTATATTTAGCAAATAATTCCATTTTTGAAAGACTGCAAATTTTACAAAATAAGTGCATGAGAATAATACTAAATAAAGATAAATATACTCCAATTAGGAAAATGCTTAGCAAATTAAAATGGCTCAATGTAAAATTTTTTATCAAATATCTTGTAATGATATTCATTTATAAAGTAAAAAATAATATATTTCCATCAAGTCTAACTAATTTAACATCATCAAAGGTCGACCATCATTTACATAATTCCATTTAATGACCAAAAATTATAACATATGCTACAAATCTGTATTCCATCAAGGGTTGATTGAATATAATAAATTATACTCGGAGATAATAGACCAGAAAACTTTGACAAAATTTAAAGTAAAATTGAGAAATCACTAAAGGAATGAATGAATGAACTTAGAGGCACAACGTCCACTATGAGGAGCCGTCGCAAAGGCCACCTACCTCTACATTCCCTAAACCTCAATCCTCGCCTTTGTTGAGTATGGCCTTGAGCCCAAACTCCTTAACGTCCTGGGGGTCCAAAGTGATGGACCCCAGTATAGTCAACCTGTAGTAGCTCAGAGCCTTACAGTGACGCAGAACATGCGCCGAGGTTTCTTCCTCTACCCCGCAGCGCTCACACAAAAGATCCTCAGCCACACCCCGTCACACGTAGGTTGCGCCTCAACGTGTTATGGCCGGACAACAGTCCCACCAACAACCTTTGTTTCCGTGTCTGAAGGAGATGTCTAGAGATGCTTCTCCATTTCAGAGACTGCTCTCCAGCAATCCACTCCTTTATTACCTCCATTATTCGCAATAGCGTCCGCAATATCATTACACTTTATCCCAGCGAGCCCCGGTACCCTGTATTCAAAAAGGGCGACAAATCCTCCGCTAAAAATTATCGACCAATAAGTCTCGTTCCTATCGCCGCCAAAATAGCTGAAAGAATCATATTAGATAAGCTTTGCTTTCGAAAATGACCTTATCCCTAAGAATCAGCATGGATTTCTCCCTGGTCGATCAATAATGACCAACCTTCTCCACTCTTTCAACGATTGGACTCAGTATCTGGACACAAAGACTCCTGTTGATATAATCTACTTAGATTTCTCTAGGGCTTTCGATCGCGTACCACATAGAAGGCTTCTGTTTAAGTTGGAATGTATGGGAATAAGAGGCGAGTTGTTACTGTGGATTAAGGCTTTTCTCACCGGGAGGACTTTCTCTGTGCGCGTCAGTGATAGCCAGTCTCACCTTCATCATGTAGCAAGTGGAGTTCCTCAAGGCTCTGTCTTGGGGCCAGTGCTGTTCCTTCTGTATACAAGTGACCTGCCCGCATTGATTTCCTCCACATGTTCAGCTTATGCCGACGACACCAAGATTTACAATAGTGTCGTAAATTCTGCTATGCTTCAACGAGATCTTGATATTGTTTGTCAATGGTCAGTCAGTTGGCTTTTACCCTTAAATCTAACTAAGTGTTGTGTCCTTCACCTCAGGAAGACAAATCCGCGATTTACATACAAGATCTCTGACCACAACATCGAAGCAGTTTCGAGCCACACTGATCTGGGCGTTGTAGTCAACGATCGTCTTTCCTGGTCAGAGCATATTCACCACGTTACATCAAAAGCCAAGAAACTTGTATACATGCTGGAGAGGTCTTTCAAAGGGTCCGATGTCAACACTTGCGCCTACATTTACAAGGCATTCGTGAGGCCAATTCTCGAATTCGCTGGCCCGGTATGGGACACTGTTCTTCTGCGCGATAGAAATCTGGTCGAATCAGTACAGCGTCGGACTACTCGTATCCCTTTTGAAGCACGAAGACGAAGCTATGAAGATCGCCTTGAATTATTCAACCTGACCTCATTCTCTGAGCGAAGACTTCGTGGCGATCTTATAGTTACGTTCAGGATACTTCATGGTTTAATGGGCACCAACCTCATGCATCTATACCGTCTGTCGCGCAGCAATCTACGCGGACAAGGCTTCAAACTGCATAAGGAGCCATTTAAAACAACAGTCCGACAGTGGTTTCTTCCCAACCGCATATTCAACACCTGGAATAGTTTACCTGAAAGTGTGGTTGGTGCTACTTCAGTTAATAGCTTCAAAGTGCAGTATGATAGCTGGAGGAGTGGACAAACTTTATAGCTATGAACTGTCTTTTTTTATTTTTTTCTATTTGATGTATTTGTGTTACGTGTCCGTACACTATATTTACTGCATGAGCTTATAGTACTGTGTACTCTGCTCATCTCAATTATCATAATAATAATAACGATACCAGATGCCTGGCTGCATTGCAAGACAAGGCTCGAAGTAATCTTACACGCTCTTAGTGCCTTCATTGCAGCCTGGCTGTTGGAGAAGATTCTTGCTCTTCTCCTAGGCACTCTCCCCTCTTAAAATGCGGGATACGCAAGCCGGAATCGCAAAGATTTCCGCCTGGAAAATAGTGGTGAATCGACCAAGAGGCAGTGACAGCCTAGTTCTAGGCTCAAAGACTCTGGCTCTTGAGCCATTTTTAGTGACCGAGCCGTCCGTATACCAAACCCGCTCACTCCCTCCGGAGATCTTCCGGATGCCGGAGTAACACTCCGCCCTCGTTGGATACTAAGATGGCAGTGTGACCCCTAACAGGATTCAAAAGGCCCATCCATCAGATCTTCCATTGCACCCAATCACGTTGTCCGCACTGTGCTTGTAATACTGATACAAGCCAAACGCTGAATTTTATCGAGTTTGACCTTAGTTGTCTCTGTTCCAATGCAAGGCCACAAAACCAGGGAGCCGTACAAGGGAGACGGGCACACTATTGTCGTATAGAGCCAATGTCTGCAAGTTCACATTGAATTGCCAGCCTTGTTAACCTTGTACTCAACAAGGTCTCTCCAGTTCAGTTTGAAGTCCAGGATAATTGCTGGATATTTTACGGATTGGAATAGAACTAGTCTAGTCCCAGAGAAGGTCAGTAAGGCAAGCACGTTAAACCTCTTTCTCCTAGTGAATATAATCAGGTCGGTCTTTCCAGCGTTGACATAAAGATTGACCTCCCTACACCACGATACCATAGTGCGCAGAGCGCGCTGCATAATCTCAGAGACCCTTCTACAAGAACGATCCCTAACCACAATGCTTAAGTCGTCAGCATAAACACCCGCACAGCTGAGCCTAAGGACGAGACCGTCCACCACGAGGCACCACGGACAACCGCGACCTACACTGACGTAGCTGTTGCTCCAGAGTCGATAGGACCCAATCAACCGGGATTGACCCAACCCCGTGCCTAACCAAGGCATGCCTGATAGGGTCGGTTCAATGTCCAGAAAGGCCACGAGTGCTACTACTTCTCGCTGACCTAGGGTCTTCTTCAGCCTACCGACCAGATTATGTAAGGCCAGATCAGTTGATCTGCCAGCCTCGTATGCGAAATGATTGGAATGAATGACACACCTCTTCAGCGGACCACCCCTCAAAAATCTGTTTGCCTTGAGCACAGTATGCCTAGGTCTGCCTGGTTTAGGAATAAATACCACTTTAGCCTATCGCCAGCTTCAGGGTGTGAAGCCCGTGGTCGAAACACCTTCAGCAGGTAAGGAACAACCAAATCCCATCCGTGCTGTAACTTCACCGGAAATACGCTGTCCAGATCCGGACTTTTGTACGTACCAAACCAACCGATCGCCCATACCATCCTATCGAAGGTGACAACCTCCCTTGCCATGCGCCAGTCCTCCCCAGAGGGCGTCGCAACGGCATGCACTCTGTGATCGATTGCGCTACTATGGAACGCGGAAAGTGAGTATCCATCAGAAGCCTCAGAGTACCTTCCTCGGAAGTAGTCCTACCTCCCAAGGAATCGGACAGATCCCTAGCTTGCTTTAGTTTCTTTGCACAGGATTATGCAGTTCCTCCAGGCCATTTAGTCTTTCTTTTACATTCTTGTAAAGCTTCCTTGTACTCTTCCTTTTCGGAAGAGCCTCTCCTGTGCCTAACTCTACTGACGTTTTTGCACAGCTCGTTTCCTATCCTCTAGCTCCTTAGACCAGAAGGTTGCTTTGCCCTTAACTTTGCGTAACGGGCAGTTTTCCTCATACGAGGCTGTCAGGTCCCTGCTCAGGGACTCTATAGCTGCTGCTATATCAAAGCCCGTACAAAGGCCGCTTGGAGACCCTCCAAGCTTACTATCAAGACCTGCCCTAAAGGACGCCCAATTAGTAGGTATGCTCCGAGCGTATATATCCGGAACCTCTCCATCAGTCTTGAACAATATGTATAGATGACAGGAATTGAAGAATGTGTGTTAATGTGAAAACATGCATGGATTAGTTCATAGTCTAGTAGTAGTTTTGAAAATGTCTATTTGGCTTCTAAGTACACGTACCTCTTTAGTATCTTTCTTATACATTTCATCACTGCTGGCCGGAGTTGCTTGCTCTGAAGTGCCTTGTATGGGCAAAGCTAAAGGCAGTTCTGTGGGGTCTTCAGCAATCTGATTCACTTCATTGTCGGCGCTCACTGAAAAACATATGAAATAGTGACGCTTTAAAACAATGTCTCAACAATATCATAGACTTTTTCGATTAAAAAATTTCTTTGAGCATAAAAACGAGTTTCACGTTCTATTTTATTCACTGGATTGTGTCTTTTGGATAAATATACTAAGTAACATATAAATCCGAATACCCAGTTTAAATGGTTTTATTTTAATAAAAGTTGGTGAATGTATTTATCTTAGTGTAAATAACAAGTGAAAAAATTTTCAGCCTTATCAGTTGGACATTCCGGGTTTTATACTGCTTTTTTTAATTCACTAACGCTCTAAAAATGAATATTTCAGCCGCAGTAAAGAATCAACGTTGGCGGATTTTGGTTCTTGACATCCTTTACGATCGGTTACGATGCCTAGAGTACGGAGACCTGTACGATTTCGTCAACTTGGTGAGTTTGATAGGGGCCGTATAGTGGGACTTCGGGAAGCTGGACTTTCTTTTAGGGCAATTGCAGTTAGAGTGCAAAGAAGTGTAGACACTGTGGTTAGGTGTTGTCAGGCATGGCTTCGAGAAGGCCGTACGCAAAGAGCAAGGGGCACTGGACGCCGCCGTAGAACAACAGACCGTGGAGATCGCGGCCTAAGATTATTGGCCTTAAGGGACCGTTTCTCCACTACCAGGTCCATTGCAAATGAATGGTTTGCAGAACACGGAAGACCTATTGGCATGCGAAGTGTTTACCGACGAATGAGAAGTTTTGGCTTGTTTTCATACCGGCCACACTGGGTCCTCCCTTTAACTCAAGAACACCGACGTAATCGCCTTGAGTGGTGCAGACAACGGTCACTTTGTGATCAGGAATGGAACAGTATTGTCTTTAGTGACGAGTCTCGATTTTGTTTAGGCATGCACGATGGTCGTGTCAGGGTAAGAAGGCGACGTGGTGAAAGGAGGAATCCACAGTTTTTTGTTGAAAGAGATGTTCATCACACTGTTGGAGTTATATATGTGCTATAGCTTATGGTTCCAGGTCACCTTTAATCTTCATCAGAGGTAACATGAACGCGCAGCGTTATATCCACGAAGTTCTAGAACCCCATCTTTTACCCTATCTTGACACCCTGGCAGATCCAACTTTCCAACAAGATAATGCCCGACCACATGTTGCAAGAGTCACAATAGACTTCTTTCAACATAATGATGTCACATTGTTACCATGGCCACCAAGATCTTCCGACTTATCCCCAATTGAGCACGTGTGGGATATGATGGGTAGGAGATTACTCAATTTGCAACGTCCTCCTCAGACTCTAGAAGCACTTCGAGAGGAGTTGGTGGTTGCCTGGAATGAGATACCACAGGAGGACATTGACCACCTGATCAGAAGCATGCCTAGGCGCGTTGGAGAATGCGTAGCACATCAGGGTGCATCCACACATTATTGAAGGTCAACGGGCTTTAAAGCAGTGCAATCATTTTGAAATTTTTATTATTTACTTATTATGCTTCATTAAGTACTTATACAAAATTTCATTAAAATAAAACCATTTAAACTGGTTGTTCGGATTTATATGTCACTTAGTATACATATTCGAGATAAAATTGTATGAACTTCTTTTAAGCGCTTATACGTATTGTAGGAAAGCCTGGCCCATTTTCGGCCAGACATAGAATCTTAAGTAACATATAAACATGCGAACATGAGATGTTTTTCTATTTTTTTTACATCGAAGTAGCCGCGCAGGCAGAAGTCTAGGTGCCGAGGATCCCAAAGAAATTTTGTTAATCCAATTTCTGAACTATCTAAGGTTAGTAGAACAGGGAAAACCACCCTCTTGTAAATTGTTCCATAATCTCAACACCCTAGGTACAAAGGAGCGGTCGTATCGGCCAGCTTTGGATGTACGAAGTTCGACGCGATTAGGAGGCCGAAGTCAGGCGGGTCTGACTGGCACGAACATCGCGCGGCGGCATCACAGAGCAGAGTTCCGAGGTGTAAATCTTGTTGGTGTAGCGGTCCCCCGGTGCGAAAGGGTCCGGAGGCTGATAGTTAGAGATAAGCCATCGATCGGTCGGACAGCCCTCCTTTGGACCCCAAACTTGTGAGCAATACGAGTTTCTGCTGCCACAGCGGGTTCTGACCGAAACCTAACCTCCACAACACCGTGGTCTGAGTTACCCAGGGGGGACAGGATAGCAGTGCTGTAAGGGACAGGATGCATGGTCAGAAAGAGATCCAGCCGGTTACTGGCGTGTGACGAAACGCGGGGAAAAAGTAGCGCTGGTCACCGGCTTGGGTAATAGCGAACGCTTCAACTGCTGAGGTGATCAGTGCAGTTAATGTTGATGTCGCTTGTACCGCCTTGTATTCAGTTATCAATAACATCTTTGAGGTCCATGTCCCTGAATGTAAAAATAAAATGTTTTCGTATCCCCCATGGTTCACACGTGAAATTATACTTAATATCAAGAAGGACATAGCAAGAAGGAACTGGAAACGTGACGGTACTAAGTTTTCTAATGATCAGTTCAGTCATTTTAGGAAGCTCATTAAGAACCAGATCAGTGTTGCCTACTCCGCTTACGTCCAATCGGTTGAGGATGCCATTGCCAATGATCCTAGCAAATTCTGGTCATTTGCCCAGATCAAAAAACAGCAATCTAGAATCCCCCAAGGATGACGCTTAACGGCAATGTCTGCGATACGCCTCAGGATATAGTGGACAGTTTTGCTACCTTCTTTTCAACAGTTTTTATCCTGTCTGGTCTACTAGGGTCATCTCCTCCAACAAATAATTCTACCGATATCATTTCTTTAAAAAATATAAGTGAAGAAAACGTAATTAGGGCTTCGAAAAGATTAAAGAACAAAATGACGTCTGGATGTGATGGTATTCCAAGGTTTCTCGTTAAAGATTGCATTCATATACTAGCGAAACCGCTGGCTTCCATGTTCAACCTAATTCTAAAATCAGAGACATATCCAAATATCTGGAAGACCTCTAAAATATGTCCTATTCACAAAAGTGGAGATATCTCTGATATTTCCAACTATCGCCAAATAGCAATCCTGTGCAATTTCAGCAAGTTGTTTGAGATCATCGCTTATGAAACGGTTTACTGCTCGGTCAGGGGTGCAGTCTCTATTAATCAGCATGGGTTTATGAGAGGGAGATCTACGGTCACCAACTTGGCTCTAATTACTCAGTACATTTCTGAAGTACTGGACGGTCAGGGACAAGTTGATGTCATCTACACAGATATCCAGAAGGCGTTTGATCAAGTTGATCATTATGCACTTCTGGATAAGCTTAAAACAGTGGGTATGTCTGATGCAATGCTGTCGCTCATGAATTCATATTTGAGGGATAGAAGGTTATTTGTCGAATATGGTGGTCATAGGTCGAGTTACTATCAGGCCACGTCCGGGGTACCTCAAGGGTCAAATCTAGGTCCATTACTGTTTTTGACTTGTCTTTTGAACTGAAGTGTTTCCATTTGTTTTTCGCTGATGACCTTAAAATCTGCACGTCAGTCAAGACAGTCGAGGATTGCGTCATGTTGCAAGATGACTTAGCTCTAATTTCGTCATGGTGTTCACGAAACTGTCTCGGTCTGAATGTTTCGAAATGTAAAGTTATGACTTATACAAGAAAGGTTAACTATTTAATTTATGATAATTATAACATCAATGGTCAGGTTATAGACAGATGCACCTCTTATAGAGACCTTGGAGTCATTTTTGATACCATGCTAACGTTTACTGAGCATATACTCAATATCTCGTCGGCTGCCACTCGACTACTTGGTTTCTGTATCAGAAACTGGAAGGGTTTCTAAAATGTTGATACATTAATGACTTTATTTTTTACTTTTGCCAGGAGCAAGTTGGAGTATGCGTCTCTGATCTGGTCTCCTATATACCAAAATTCTGTCGTGATCCTTGAGGCCATTCAACATAAAGCTTTAAAGTATTTTCACCTTAAATGCACAGGTTCTTATCCAGAAAGAGGTTGTGACCATAATGCCCTATTAGAGTCTTTCAATTTGGATTCACTGTCAACAAGACGAAACATATTTGCTTTGTCGTTTTTGTATGGCCTCATTCACAATAAAATTGACTGTCAAAATTTACTTGAAAAAATATGTTTCCGCGTTCCAAGGCTAGGGAGTCGTACAAATGTTATGACAAAATCTCATGTGCTGCGTCATGAACAGTGTTACTGAATCGTGTGATATTTACAGTGACAGTTGTGCATCGATTATTAACTGCTATAGCTCATCCAATCCTGTTTAGAATGTGTGATACTATAGATTTAAGTCCAAGAACCATGTCTCTTTAATTGTTATTGTTTTCAGCATTTCCTGTAATTGGGTTTCACCTGTTGGAAATAAATAAATAAATAAACTGCACGACCTGCTGCATCGGTCTTGTTTGAACCCAAATGAACATGCCCTCATTATGGGCATGTTCAGGAAGTCGATCTTGTCTGCAAGGTATTCAAGTAGGTTATCCCAGTTATGTTCCGAGGGAGGGCGATAAAGGCAGCAAAAAATAAATTTTTGGGATGTTTTGGATGTGAGGTGAAACCACAGAATGTCCTTCCGGTCTGAATCCAAAGAAACGACTCTGGAGCAGGAAATACTGCTGCGGACAAAGGCCACAACTCATCCGTTATTTCTCAGATTGAAGTGCACCTCATTATTTCGGAAGCTAAGATGGTTAATCGGTGCATAATATTTTTTTTGTTTCCGCCAAGAAAAGCAAGGCGGGACGATTAGATTGCAGGTAGTGATGGACAGCATTAATGCGGCTGTTTATCCTGCAGATGTTCGTGAAACAAATTTTATCATCGATGTTGTTCCCTCGAGTCCACCCTCCACCCGGACATTACGCGAGTAGAGTGAGTTTACGTCCGGAATTCTTAGTACTCGAGGGATCCATCACCATTAATTTCTTTGTTTTGGAAGAACCTACTGTGTAGCTTAGGTGTGGAAGCATGAGGACATTTATAAGACACTCTG